TAAAAATGAATTAAGAGAATCTGCCCAAAACAATTTACCAAATAGTTTACCAAGGTACAGTTTACCAAATAGTTGCAATATGAGAAATGTTTGTTTTAATTTCAGAATACAAGGATGCCAGTAATCACATATATTTATATGTTATTGTAGTGGAAGCCCTAAGCAATACAATAAGAACAGAAAAAGAAATAAAAAGAATAAGATTTTAAATAATGAAACAAAACAGCAGATGCCATGATTATCTATAGGGATATGTATTATCAAAATAAAACAGATTAACAGAATTTCCAGATTTAAGATCAATATGTAATAACTACATAGTCTCTAATAATCAGTGGCATACATTAGTAACAATTTATTATTAAATATTATTTAAAATGCTCTAGTCTTAAGAGCACAAAGCTTTATCAATATTTAGATATAAACCTAATGAACTTTATGAAAACTTCTATACGGAGAATTATAAGACATTGTCGAAAGGCCATAGGAAGTACTGAAGAAATGAAAAAGAAGCATCATCTTTATGGATTGGGAGAATCAAGATCATAAAGATTACCATTTTCCCCCAATTTTATCTGTACATGCAATGAAATTGCTTTCATAATCATAATGCAAATATGGCATTTTATTTATCTATTACTTGTGTCAGTACAAACAAATTTGTGGTCCCCAATGACTACAGTAATTCTGTTTCTGAAGTACTAGAATAGCTATCTTTATAAAACACAGATTGGATTGTGTGATCCTCTTGCTTAAAAATTTTACCAGGCCCTCAAAATTTTCAGGATAAAATTTAAAATCTCAGAAAACAAATCCCAAGCTTTTGTGGTCTGACCCAGGCCTCTCTTGAATTTTGTTTCCTGCCTTCCTCTCCACCTACCCAGGACTCTGGAGTCCCACACAAGCTTTTGTAACACTGACGGTGTCCTTCATAAAGGCTTCAGTGCCAGAGGCATTTGGGTCTGGTCTGAGAACAGTACGGTGGGACAGTTTTGGTGTTGTTTCTGGCCGCACACTGTCTAAGGCTAAATTCCAGACCCCACTGGAGATTTTTTAAACTGCATAAATTTAGACTAACTTGATATATCATGTTCTGATATTTGCACGTAAACCCCTGAGCAACACGGGTATCCCTTCAGTCTACTTCCTAGATAATAATTTAAGTGCCTCAAAGGTTCTATAGCATTTCCCCAAATATAAGATTAAAAATGGGAGAGTATTCTGTATGCAGGGCTGTTCTTTTCAGAATAGTAAGTGGAGGATTAGGAATAGAGACATTTTTAGAGAAGGCACGATGGATCTCATGGACCTGTACAGAGCCAGATTGCTAAAATGTACAATTATAGCCTTCAAAACAAAAACAACAACCAAAAAACAAACAAAAACAAAAGAAAACACAGCCCAAAATTACCCCAAAGAAAAAAACTGAGATAGAAGAGACGTTAAAATTTACAGGGAAAAGTTAGCTATTAAGACTTAAAAAAAAAAAAAAAAAAAAAGGCAAGGAAAGTTGATTGAGGAATAAACCCAGGAAATGACACCGTCTAGAAATCAAGGGAAGAGCAATTTCTTGTCCTTGGCCTTTTGGTCCAGCTCACAGGTTTAGCACCAAATGCTCCTGGAAACCAGGAAAAGATAAAACAAAAAGAGATTAGTCTGAAAAGATTACGAAGTCTAACTGCTAATCAAAAAAAGGGGGGGGAGACACTACAATATCTGAAAAAACGTATTTTATCACTTAAACTAAAAAAAAGGTTAGCCTTTTCCTTTTATTATCTCATTTTATACAGGGATTGGCAGAAATATTTGGAATACAATTCCAAATGCCTTCATCAGATACATGCCCCAAATTATTTTAACAACCAGAAATTTTAGATTTTGGCAAACGTTTGTTCATTGCACTGAGATGAAATTTATGGTGAAGCTTCTTTACTTCTCCAGTGAAAGAATTTAAGAAAAGTGTAAATACAGTGAGATCAAGAAATACATGCTAGTTCTCTCCCCCTGCAAACTTCGGTGACCTGTGTGTTTGCACAGCGTGGAATCCAGTGTCTAGGGCTGCTGGCAAGCATGAGAATGAGGGCTCACTTTTCTATATGCCCAGAATTGCTTCTGCATGTAAAAATGGTTGACAGAACTTCTTCTGGAAATGGAATGTGAATTTTTAAAGAAGCTTTGAGATATAAATCATGGATAGAAATATGATGCATGTACTGAGAAATTCAACTTCATATTTGGGTTATAGGATATGGGTTTTAACTGCTGAGTTACCACTAATATTGAAGGCAATGGTTGGAGGTTAAGTCCTTTGACAGTCTATGAGGTGGTCTGAAGCCCAAACACCAGGCATCTGGGTGGTGCAAGACCCCGGGATAAGCTGACACAACTCTGAAATCTGTGTGGATTTCATGTGAGTATAAAATCTACCGCTTGAGTTATGGTTTGACAGATGTATTGACTATATTCCCTAATACCATCGCCCCCCATCCGCACTATAAATTAAAAAATGCAAGTAGTATTATCTACTGTTTTTCAAAAAATCTAAGGAAAGGATAATTTCAACACAATTTGGAATACTGTCAAATAATAATACACATTTCTTAAACTTTTATAGGAAACCTTTTCTCTCAGTTGTTTTTACCTCATATTATTTATATTTGTTCTCAGTTTTAGACAGATATGTAAAATTAATATTATACTAATTTCTCAAGTAGATACATTGAGGCATAAACAAAATAAAGGTGATAATACATGTCTCTTAAAGGGGCTTACTGTGAATTTGAGGCAAGAAACCAAGTTTCTGGGGCACCTGGGTTTCTCAGTTGGTTAAGTGTCTGCCTTTGGCTCAGGTCATGATCCCAGGGTCCTGGGTTCCCTACTCCCTGGGAAGCCTGCTTCTCCTTCCCCGCCCCCTCTCCTGCTCTCTCTGTCACTTTGCCACATGTGCACTCTAATAAATAAAATCTTAAAAAGAAAAAGGAAATCAAGTTTCTCTCCCCTTTATTCAATGCTCTTCCCATTGGCTTAATGTATCCCCAACAGAATGAGGATTGTAAATTAAGAACTTTTCACAGCTGCCACCTTATGCACACCTAACACCTCAATACACCAGGTATACTCACTACAGCCACTTAAAACTTTCATATATCTTTTTATTTTAGATTTATATTTTAGCCAACAAATATACCACTCCTGAATTTTAAGTTCAGCCACAGAAAGAAGGATTACTTCTTCTAGTAGTAAATATAAATCGTACCTAGTCCTAATTTGGGTCATGCCTAACAAACTATCAGAATTTGTAAGATTTATTCCCCCCATGCATCATTTCAACAGTAAGTTGGCCTTTATTCTGTCATTTAACATTTTTTTTAAGAGTAAAAGGAAAACTAAATTTAGTAAGTTTATGTACAGTTTACACTTACCAATAACATATCTAAAGACACAAGAAGCAGATTTTTACCTTGGGTAACTACTTCAGCTCATCAGAATGTACCTATTGAAAGAGATTCCCTTTAAAAATTGGATGCATTTTATTGAGGTTTAAGAACAACATTCAACAGAGCTTTAAAATGTGAAGATTCCCATGAAGGAAATAGGTCAACTCCAGTACCAAACAAAAGACGTTAGACTGATGTGTTCCAACCTCAAAGGAATTTACTGGATACGTTTTCTTTTGACTAAACTTCATAGCCTAGGAGGGCCAAGGTTTTCTGAATTGATTTTTGAGTCATTTTGTTCCACGATATTAACAACAAGGAAGGAAAAGGAAGAATTTCACCACATTTAAGTTAAAATAGGAAAACCATAACTACAAAGGTGTGTATGGGGTTGGTAGGGAGGAGAGTTTTGAAGATTACAAAGGGGAAGGATGTGAAATACTTTACAACGGCAGTTGTCCTAACAGGCTGCCTGATGAGGGAAATAAATTAAAACCCTTATAGGTGGAGGAAACACTTACATAATCATTTGAGTGTACTTGGTTTTGAATGATCTCATGATAAAGGTCCCGAGGAGCCCACAAACACACCACAAAGGAGTCACTTTACACCAGGACTCATGAGTAGCAACTGTTTCTTAAAAGAAAACAAATTTCTGTTCAGGGAATTTGAACCACTCCAAAGGGTTTAATGACATGCAGGGGTTTGTAGGTCAGTCACATCTGTTCTGAAATGAAATGCTTCTTCCTGTTTCTAAATTGACTAACCCTTAACCCCATTAGCCCTCACATCTCAAAATAGAGATGATTCCTGTTTCATGGGCTGTCCAACAGTCAGGGCCCTTATGTTTATTCCAGCACATGGAACTCATCAGCTTTATTCTTGTTCCGTCAGCAAAGTGAAAGAAGGTGTAAAAGAAGAAAGCAACAAATAAAGTCTGCATTGGGTTTGACAGTTCTGATCATTACGTCTTGTCCACATGGGTATCTGTGGAAAAGAAGAGCATCTAAGACAATAGCCAGCACCTTTCCAAGGAGGAGAGTTCCTCCTATTTTCCTTTCCTGAAGTCATTAGATATCCATTGTTGTGCTGAGTGTTCTCTGCATGAAATGAAAGCAAGTCAGTCTAAGAGGGGCAAAAGAGAGTTCCCTGGTTGCCTCAGAGGCTGTGCCTCAGTGTGAGCGTGGGCTGCTTTGTGCGTAGAATACACCAGAAGATAGAGATATGGCTGTTCCCCAGAGTCTAATTTGCAAATGTAACAAGTGGTTTGAAAAATCCTGAAGAAAAGAAGTAAAATGAAAAGTAGGCACTAAAATGAGGACAGGCAGAAAAGCGAATGCTTAGAGGAAAATGAATGGTAGGGGGAATTCACATATTTTATAAAGTGTTAAGAGACTTTCCTGATGCTAAGGAAGAAAGACCTTTTTTATGTTGCAGGCATGAGCTGCTCCCTTGTACCATGTTCCCTACAGACTTTTTTTTTTTTTTGGTACAAATAATGAAATGGTAGCTAGGGAGAAAGAAATGAGCCCCGCCCCACGTGCTTCATTTCCCGGATTTTACCTGTGAGTACACGAGGTTTTGCCAGTGCTGCGCAGCAGGGTAATTCCCCCCCGGAAACCTCGCCAGGCTGGCTTGAAGAAGAGCTGAGCTCCTCATGAAAGACTTCACATCAAGCTGCAGGAATTTGTCAGGATGGTTGTTGTTTGGCAAAACGGAGAGATCCATGTTCCCCTTCTTCTGCGGCGGAAAACAAAGGAAGTGAGGCTGCTCTCTCCAGACTTGTCCATTATTAATGAGCCCGAGGACGCTCCAACTGGCATCTGAAACCAGGTCTCTCAGCTACACTGGGAGCCACTCTTGAAATGAAATATCAACACACAAGAACAGTACAGCATGCTGCCTTGCCTTTCACACAACACACACACACACACATACACACACACACACAAACACACCTGCATTCACGGTGCTTAAATGGGACAGATGGGGCTACACTCATCAAATTTAACAAAATGCCAAAATTCGCTATGTAGCACTAAACGTTTCTCTGTACAGCATCAGAAAGAGCAGTTCAAGAGGAACTATTCTCTGGATAAAGGAGACTGCCAACATTTCCATGTCACAGTCCATAATTGGAGACCATGAAATATCACCTGTAAGGGAGCGATTACTTAGTTTTTCTCTCTGAATGTCGCCGAGCTCACCAGCTGGCTTGGCCCTGGCCCATGCAGTCTCCCACGTGACATGCAGGATCTTGTTTCTTCTTCTGTTTGGACTCCAGAGTCTCAGGCTCCTGTGAAACCTGACCATGTTTAGGTTGTCAGCTTTGGTCTGAACTGAGAAATGGCAAGAATTTGCTATAGGGTTTGCCATAGTAATTTAGCCCCCCAATCTACTGCCTTGACCCATTCATGAGCTGAAGTTCCCCTGACTCTCTCCAGAGCTACATAATCTCCTTTGGTGTGTTTTGCTGTGCATACAGTACACTTGGAACCAGAGGGGATCATGGCTGCTGGGTTTGGATGAGGTGCTGTCCTAAGTGAACCCATCTGTGGTTCAGAGAGCCAAGGTGGGAGTGAGGCTGTGGACTGTGTATAGGGAGTAGTGATGACTTTAATGGAGATAAGCTCTCACATTTCAAGCTATTCTTTCTTGGGCAACCCATAGTTCTCATTGGGAAAGTATGGATTCCATCTAGAAGAAGAGGAAAACTTCCCACCATGAGAAGGCAAAGGATAGACATATCAGCTGTTCGAAAAAGACATAGGTTGTTTGTTACGTGTGCACCTCTGATTCAAACCCATCTGATTCAGCAGGAAGTTTTCTCTTCCAGGGGTAAATGAGGTCACATGTGGAAGGTATCAGCACCAGATTTCAGAAGAGTGCCATATAGCTTACAAGAAGCAGCAGCAGCCAGAATGTTCTCAAATCAAGCAAGGCACTAGAGAGTACTTACCTTCTTTATAGCAATAAACATGGGGGAGTTTAAAAAAAAAATCATGTCCTACTTACAGTTGGAAAACTGGATTAAACAATCAACGTTTTCTGTAATAATTATTTTTTGGACCCAAAGTCTTTCACCATCTCATAATATTTCCACACTCATACATTTGAGGGGGGGTTAACAATACCTTTCCTGGAGAAAGTAAGAGGTCCTTCCTAATGACAGTTAACAACAAAACAGTTAAATCACAAGTGCTTCAAGAATCCAGTGTATTACGAGCATGCACAAGCACTGGGTACTTTCTGGATTCTCCTGGAGGCTGCCAGAATCCATCTAATGAATAAATATTTCTCAGGCTGTTTGCTTTTCCTAAAAGATTCTTCAGGGAATAACACACATCTTCAAGAAGAACCTTACTTCTCTTTGGCTTTCTGTATTGGCAAGTGGATACAAAGAACCCAGATCCAAATATATTTGATTAGGCCTTTTCCTTAGCCAAAGTATGAGGTAGGTGAAATGAGACTTCAGTTTTCCTTAGGCATCCTTCCTTTAGATCCCTCCGCTGTGCTCTGGATGCCTGGATGCTTGTGCACGGTCTCCTTCTGTTTTTAGGTTTAGTTTCAGACTCTCCATTTTCTTTCACCATCTTCCATGTAGGTAGCATTCATGACAAACAGCTGAAAAATCAAGATTTCTTCTCTCTCTCCTGCTACCTGCCATCTCTTCCCCATCCCTGGTCTCTACCTCCAGCCTAGCCCAACCCAGCCCACTCTGTGCCTCTGGTAATGCCAGTTCTTCTGCTTGGAAACATTTCTTCCCAACTCTGGCTGTCAGCCACCTCCTCATCATCCTTCACGGGCCACTGCCGATAACTCTCTGTTCACAAAACCTTGAGGCATTTTCCCAAGTAGGTATGGTTCCCCCCTCCTTTGAAATCTTAGAGTGATTTGTTTATGCTCTTATCTTACTGTCCTTCATGATGATGTATTTCATACTTTCCTTTTATAAGCCCTACCCCAGATGATACATTACCAAAGGGCAGCCCTTTTGGATGCTTCCTGCCCCATGAGTCATGTCTGAAGACCCTCATGAAGTCTTTTGCTTGATAAATAATGATGGCGCTTGTCTTTTCCCAAAGCCCTAGGAAGGGCTCTACTCTGGTTGGAAATTGATAATCCAATTAAATTTGATTAAAAAAATGACTTAGTGCTCTTTTCCAAGCTCAGTGAAAAATAGACTATTGCCAAAAATGTTTATGACATACTCTATATTCTCTTCTGGTAGTTTATGAGGCACAAGCTCACACTGAAGGCTCTGAGAAGTTCTGCTTTGATAAGTCCAGCATTGTCCAAATTTATTTGGTCATATAACACCCATTTTATTGTTTTCCTTTTAACTCTTCAAAAAATTTACCTGAGTGTAACTGGGCATATATTGGGTCAGGGTTTCTATTTCCTTATTGTCATTAGTAACTTCAGTCTCGAGTGACAACTGTCATAAATACAAAGAGCTCTAATTGCAGGGAAATCTGGTGGAAATATGCATACCTGGGCCTTCTCAACCCTTAGCATGCAGGTAATCATTTGGTCTTTTTCTTTACAACACATTTTTATAAAAGTATCTTTTCCTCTTGGATTTGGACCCAGAATTACTCTTTTTTGAAACATGGGAATTGTAAAAATAGACTTAAATATGGTTCACTAGGCAAAATTGTCTACGTACTAATTAACCATATTTTCTTCTTTTCCTGTCCTCATTCTTTCTTTTTTCCCCCTCTTTTCTCCTACTTCCCTTCCTTGCTCACTCCCTCTCTGGTTGTACCAAGAACCAACTGAAATATCTGTAAGAATGTCCAGCTGAAAAGCCTATACAATGTCTGGATGAGCAGTTGGGGTTCATCAAATTATTGGAGAGTTTGAAAATTACTTGGATAGCTTTGACTATGAAGAAAGCCTGTGACTAGCTTATGAATCATTTTTTTTTTCTATCACCAAACATCCTCAACATTGGTGAACAAAGGAGGTGATAAGGAAAACGGAGTGCACAGAAGTTGGAGTCAGAGCCGCATCCTATTCAACTGTTTTCTTGGGCAAGTTATGGAATCTCTCTGTTTCCTCACCTATAATGTGAGGATAACAATAGTACCTTGTAAGGTTACTGTGAGGTTTTACAGGTAAAGTGGTTAACAGAATGGTTAGCATACATTAAGGGCTTAAAAAGCGTTCACAGTTATTTCGAGTGGATAAGAATATATATTTTTATTTCACTTGTCTCATAGAAAACTGAAAAAAAAAAGAGTTAAAGTCATACAGCCATCTTCAATTAAAAGGCACACTGCATTTCCCAGAATTTCCTTATTTGTGTGATTCTGTGTTAGAACTGGCCAAAAGAGGAACTTCATTGAGATTTGGACAGCAATATGAAACAGCACCCCTTAATCTGAAAGTCTTTTTGCAGTCAGGTGCAGTAAGAGACAAAGGCAAAGGGGCCTGGCAGGTTCCGACTGCCTTTGCTTTCTTTTCTTTTCTTTTTTTTTTTTTTTAAGACTTTATTTATTTATTTGACAGACAGAGATCACAAGTAGACAGAGAGGTAGGCAGAGGGAGAGGGGGAAGCAGGCTCCCTGCCGAGCAGAGAGCCCGATGCAGGACTTGATCCCAAGACTCTTGAGATCATGACCTGAGCTGAAGGCAGACTTAACCCACTGAGCCAGCCAGATGACCCTGCCTTTGCTCTCTTGAGTTCCGTGTCCATTGCTGCTTTCCAACGGTCAGTCCTGTTGACCAAGAGCAAGCTTAGATCTACTACCAGGAGTTTGGCCACATACCCACAAGGGAGGAAGCTACAGAGGCAACTGCATCCCATAGACCTCTTAACAGATTATCCCTTCTTACGTGGCTACTCTGATTGGTTGGTGGCTACTCTGATTCTCTAACTCTGCTTATGGGTCTTCACTTTCCCAGTTCCTCCTGCAGTTGTGTGAATTCAAATCCGGTGAATGATAAAACTGGGTTTTAAATTCACAGTTCAAGGTTTAAGTTGGGACCCAGAAAGCTTCTTTGACTATCTTCAAATAAAACCTTTTAAACTGTACTGCCAATGTGTCAGCATTTGTCATGTCTTCTAAATCCAAATGCAGATTCAAGTCCTAGAAGATTCAAGGGGACCAGTAGAAAGCATGACTTGTGAGGTGTTATGCACGTCAAAGGAATTGCAAGATTTCACCAATTATATTAACTGAAACCCAAAGTATATTTATATGGGGATATTTCTTAATGGTTTTGTATTAGGGCAGAAGAAATACAACACTGTATTAGTTTATGTATTTTTAAATAGGTTCACTAAGAGGAGATTCTGGATTCAAAGTGTTACTTCACGTAACTAGGGGTGACTCTAATGATGTGCCTGAAATCTAGACCCAGTGGTGATCCATGCTGAATAAAATGGAGATGCCACATCTTCCTTATTACAATGTAGTCTATAGGAAAGTATACAAATATTTAGGGAGATTGGTTTTAATATGATAGATGCTCACCTACCTGTTAAATAGGTCCCCTGAGAGGCTCCAGAGGGTTTTCCCTTCACCAAGACTTCGAACTCCCTTCACATCAGCAAAGGCTACCTTGGAATCCTTAAAGAACTTTGCAGGGGTGTTTCTCTGAAAGTCTGGAATAAGGAAATGCTGCTGCAGAACTGTGCTTCTTAAATTTAATGAGGATGGTGGAATTCCACAAGGACAGGAAATAAAGTACTGCATTTCACTATCAAAGACCATATGGGAATGGTTACCATAAAGGGCAGCAGAATCAAAGACGTAAAGGGACTGGTTTGACCTGCAAAGATTTTGGCTAATTGATTATGGAGTCCCTAAGGTTAAAACAGACGGGCAATACTACTGAAGCCTTACTTGATTTGTTTAAGTATAACATCTCTAGACTTTGTGAAAAGAGGTCTTATTTGGATCACCACATCAGGAC